TAACTACCAACATGAATTAAATTTATTATCTTTAAAAAATAAAATAATGTAGCATGAGGTTTTACCCAATAAAAGTTTCCTTTTTCCATGAAGAAATAGGATGCAGCAGAAACCCACATAGATAATGGTGAAAAGAGTTTTTAACCCAAAGTTCACTATTTCATGCACAAATCACACTTTTGGCTAATTACAAAATGACAAAATGAAAACCCAAGCATTAGCGAGAGCTCAAGCAATTTTGTCCGTTTTTATTAAATTTATTATCAAAATTATATTGAATCCCAAATAAATTTTCTTTAAAACAATAATTAAAATATTTTGTATTCATATTTTAAGAATCTAAGTATACAAATATATATTCCAATTAAATAAAGTGGATACGAAGTCAATGTCAATTTCAAGGTTGACGCCATTGTCAATATTTAATGTTATAGTCTTTTAGACTTAAAAAAAATTGAAAAAGTGGACATATTGACCGGAACTTACAATAAGATTTTCTTCTTTCCACGAAGAAATAGTATGTACCGGGAAGCTACATGGAACATTAAGTGTGGAAATAATTTTTTCTTTCATTGATTTTTCTTTTTATCAAATTAACTCAACTTTAACCATTAATTTTGAAACTATAATGTAATAATAAATTTTCAAAAATATATAATTTGAAAACTTTGGAATTCAAAATTTCAAGTCTTAGTTTTGAATAAAAAAACGATATTGAAATATTTAACGAAATATTCTATCAGCATGAAAATAATCTATTTATATACTGTTGAATTATATAAAATATGTCAATAAATCTATTGGTAGAGCAATGAAATCTTAATTTCTAATTTAATCATGGACACCTTCAAATAAAAAAAAATGTAAATTATATTAGGATGATCCTAAAAATTAAGTTTTTAGGCATCAACTAGAAACATGCCACACATAATTATATAGAAGCTTTTGATGAATATTGTACACTCACCAACATCAAACCAATTCTCATTTTAAATCTTAATACAAGTTAACTTATTTAAAAAAATTAATGAAATAAAATTAAAAAGAAATTAGGAAAACTTAAATCGTTTTCACATTTTCATCTAAAAAAATCGAACATGGTTAGCATCTTAAAGTCTTATGTCCAAACAAATCATCAATTTCATTTTTTATTTATTATTAAATTATTAAAAGATTTTAATATTAATAATTTAATATTTTAAATATATTTTAAATTAAATTAACAAATATTATTTAATTAAAACATAATAAGCTATCAACCTTGATAGAAACTTTAAAAATTTTATTCTATATTCGATTAAGTGGAGACTAACGGACAGTCAGATGAATAGACAAGTCCAATAACAAGGTATCATAGAATCATCTATGGTATTTTATATAGACAATGTCCAATTTACAGTGGCAAATAATAAAAACAAATTATTTCATTGCAATAGAATATATTGCTTAAAAAAAAAAAAACAAGACCATTCATTTACTCCAATGATCAAGATTTGTCAGACAAGAGAAAAGCAAATGTACTAGCGTCTATCAGTTGTAATTAATTAAATTGCAAATTGAAGGAAACTTTGTCAAGTGAAGTCGAGGTCTTCTATTTCTCTATCTTTCTCAATCTCATTAGTTGTAAATTCTACTATATAGTGACAATTTTATATTTTTAGTGATAAAAATGGATTTTGTTAGAATATATTTTTTGAAATGACACTTACAAAAACTAGTCATTAATGTCACACTCCCTTATTTTTCTATAACGAATTGGAAACGTTATAGAAAAATTATGCAATGAGACAATTAGTATTTTGCTTAGCGTTTAAAACCAAGCATAAGACCTTATTTTCCACAAAACTAAAACTTTCTTCACGCTACATACTAAATGTAGTTGTGTTATTACAAATTTTTAAATATTTGAATAACCAAATTTAAACCAAATCAAATAAGAAACAAATCAATCCTAATCAAATATTTATTTTTGAATTGATTTTTTATTTTTTAATTTTTATCTCATCCTACAGATTAGCTTCTTTATATTCCTTTATGAGGAATGATAATGAAATCTTCATGGCAATGATGATGAAATCTTCATGGCAATGCTGAAATGGTTCCTATATGGCTATCAGGAGAAGAGTTTTGGCATTGGCAAAATATCAAGAATTGAATATCAAAGGTATAAAGACGGACTACATTTGAAAAAAACAAATGCATCAACATCAGTAGTAATTAATTAAATTGTAAATTGAAGGAAATTAACTTTGGTAAGTCTTGTCAAGATCGTCTTTCTCTCATCGATGATAAATTTTCACTATTTTTCAAATTGAGATTTGAATAAATTAGTCATTAACATCACTCTCTCTCGATCGTAGCCGAAACGTTATAGAAAAATTTGCAATAAAACAAGTAATATTTTTTTAGCGTGTAATGCAAGCAGAGAAGAACTTATTTTCCACAAAACCAGAACTTATTTTCCACAAAACTAAAACCTTTGTTCATGCTACAAACTAGAAAATAGAAACTTATTGTCAAGCAAATTTGAGTTAATTTTTCCAATTACTTTCTATCAGGGCCACACAACATCATTAAATGCATGACCTGAATTGCCAGTGACGTTTTGACCCCAAACCCAATTTCAGTGCGAAAAGGAGGTAGCTCATCAACCGAACTCGGTTTTTACTAATTGGCTTCCATTTTACGATTTTATTTTTTAAAATTTTATGCCATTTAATTTCTAATTACCAACATGTATTAATTTATTATTTTAAAAAATAAAATAATGCATAGAATAAAAATAAAAAATAAAAAAATAATAAATTGAATAAGTGAAAATTTATTTTATTTTAAATTTTTTAAAATTCAATCTTTTATATTTATTGTTTTGGATTTATTATTATTCTTATTCTTTTAAAAGTTTATATTTTAGAATTAGTATTTTGTTTTTATTATTGCCTTTATTATGTTTTATAAGTATTATTAAAATTAATTACCATATTATTCAATTTAAAATTATTTTTCATAGATAACTTTTTAAAAAAATGTACCATGCAACATAAGGGCATCATTCTAGTGATATACTAAAGTATAAATTTTTGTCCTTAATTAATAGCTCATATAATTTTTTAGAATTAAAATTATGTAGTTTAGCACTATGTTATTGATAGACAAATCTAAACATTTGGTATTCATAGTTTAAGAATCTATGTATACATATATATATATATATATATATATATATATATGAATTTCATTTAATTAACGTGAATATGAAGGCAATGTCAATATCAAGATCCCCTCAAACAATGAAACAATGATGAAATATTGACCGGAACTCACAATAAAAGTTTTTTTTCTTTCCACGGGGAATAAAATGTAGCAGGAAGCCACATGGAAAGTGTGGAAAGAATTTTTTAACCCACACTCCACGATTTTATGACTCATACTTTGGACTAAAGTATTAATTACAAAATGACAAAATGAAAACCCAAGTAGCAGTTGGAGCCGCCAATTTGTCCGTTTTGATTATATTTATTATTCACCCTGTCTCATTTTTTTATTTTTTATTTTTTTAGAATGCCCTAAATTTATATCTTTTCTTTTTTACCATCTAAAACAGTTACTTTTTATATTTTAAAATTATTTTTATGATTGTTTTATTTTTTAATATTCAAAATCATGAAACTTTAATTTTATAAAAAGAATTTAAATTTTAATATTAAATACATTAAAGTCAACTTTTTTCTTAAATTCCATAAAAGTCAATAAATGACAAATATTTTGGAATGGAAGGAGTATTAAAATATCAAAATTATATTGAAAGCAAAATAGATTTTCTTTAAAAACAAAAAATAAATTTGCATTTAAATTCAAATAAATAATTTTTAAAAATATATATTTTTTGAGAAATATTACATAACAATTTTAAGCAAATTCAATTTAAAATACACAGTTAAAATTTTTATCATTTCAAAACATCGACCAATTTAAAGTTAACATTATTGATTAAGGATGAAATATTTAAGTTAATAAATTATCAAAGGCATATACATTTATATATTTATATAAATAAATATAAATAAAGTATAATTTTTTTTCCTTAATTAATAGCTCATATAATTTTTACAATTAAAATTATGTAATTTAGCACTATGTTATTAATAGACAAATCTAAACATTAGGTATTCATTGTTTAAGAAAATATGCAGACACACATATCCCATTTAATTAACGTGAATATGAAGGCAATGTCAATATCAAGATCCTTTCAAATAATGAAATATTTGATGTTATATAGTCTAATAGACTTAAAAGTGGAAATTTTCTGGAACTTACAAATAAAAGTGGTGGACCCATATATAATTTTTTAATGTAATTAAATAATTATAATATTGTAACAAAAAATTTATAGGTGAAATGTTCCCAAACTGATTTACTTATTTCAATTAAATTTGTTATTAAAATGTTAAAAATATTTTATATTAATATTATAAAATTAAATTTTAATTAAAATATATTATTTATTAATATAATAAAATTCTCAAGTTGAACGCATGCCCAAAAAATCATATTTAGGACTGGATCCAAGTTTTTTGATCAAATAGCCTAAAAAGTAGTTGGGTTTAGCAAGTACTCTAGCTATTTAGCAAGTACTCTAGCTATAACAACTAAGAGAACGATTGTGAAATGAAGATTTTTTTTATCAAGATTGATCATTAGTTAAAAAAAATAATGATCAAAACAATTAAATAATAAAAAAAATAATGATCAAAACAATTATTGAGACAAAACATCATTTATATATAGCACCACCGATGACCGAAGACAAAGAAAGAGACTAACACTCTTTTTGGTAAGAAGGAAAAGACGAGGGAAAAAAGTTCTAATTTTTTTTTTACTTTCCCTCTTCTTTCTTTCTTACAACAGAGGATCGAGGACCACCTTGATTTTCTATATATATTAAGCTTGATGCAAGGCTTATCGTTATATATTTACAAGTAGCAATTGAGAGAGAATTGAAAATATAGAGATCATATATAAAGAAAAAGAGATGATGGAACCCAAATGGTTGTGGTTGAGTGTGTTGTTGCTGTTGTTAGAAGGATGCAGATGGTATGGTACTGATGCGTGTTGGGAGGATGAGAGGATTGCTCTCTTGCAACTCAAACCTTTCTTCAATCCTTACAACGATCTGAACAGCTGGGTTGATGAGATCAAGGGTTCAGATTGCTGTCAATGGGATGGGGTCGAGTGCAACACCTCTTCCTCCTCTTCCAAGCGAGTCATAGGACTCTCTCTTGATTATACAAGACTGTCCAACAACGAAAGATGGTATCTTAATGCCTCTTTGTTTCTTCCTTTCAAGGAACTGAAGCATCTTTATTTGAGAGGGAATAACATCGCTGGTTTTGTTGAAAGTGAAGGTCCCTTTTGCCTTTTCATCTTTAATTATTTCATTGTTAATTTGCAATTTGAAAATTCATTCATAACTTATTCATTTTTACAATTTCATATTTAATTCTATTTTTGCTTTATTGATGAAAAGCCACTAAGTCCTTACTATATATTTAAAAGAACTCTCTTGCAGGTTTTGCAAAGCTAAATTTGGAGATCCTTGACTTAAGTTTCAATTACCTCAATGATACAATTTTATTATCTTTGAGTCAACTTTCATCTCTCAAGGATTTATATCTAGCAGGAAACTTGTTCACAGGATCAACTCATGCAAACGGTAAAGTTAAAATTAATCTAATAATGATTATGAATGATATACAGTAACTAAAATATTAACTTGTGTTTATTACAGGTTTCCAATGGCTCTCAAGACTTGGTAATTTGGAAACTCTTGATTTAAGGGACAATTCCTTGAAAAATAACATATTGTTTCATATGAATGGTCTTTCATCTTTAAAGACTTTAAGATTAAGTGACAATTACTTGGAAGGAACGGTTCATATTCACGGTAAACTCACTTTACCTCTAATTGATATTAAAGTCAATTGTTGTTTCAAGGAAAGCTCTTGCATATTATTTGATTTTATATATAATATAATTAATTACTTGTTGAGGTTGAATAGAATTGAATAATTTGACAAACTTGAAGAACTTGGATTTAAGCTACAATAGAATTGAAAGCTTCCAACCATCAAAGCAAGGTATAAATATATATTTCAATTCACTGAACTAAAATCTTAATTATGTGATCAGCATATAAAATTTTTTATTGACTATAGTATATAATAGAATTATATATTCTTGTATAGGAAACGAGACACAACTGAGGTTGACCAATTTGGAGGTACTTAATTTGAGCGGTAATCTCTTCAGGAACAACATATTTTCCTTCCTTCGGGGGCTTTCAACTCTAAAGTCCTTGCATATGAGGGAGAACCAATTGCAAGGCTCAATAGATGTTAAAGGTAAAGCTTTTACAACCTTTTTTTTTAAATTCCTTTTAGAAGCCTTAAACTCATAAAAGAAAGTGTTTTGCTAAGTCAAAGGTATTTATTAATTAATCAAAAGGGCACAAAGCCAGCATAAAGTTAATGCAGCAAAGCAAATAGATTCTATGCATTCAAACCAGACAGACAAAACACCACCCAAAGTATATAACTGAAGACAAAACACTTAAAAGTTACACAACCTTACCCATAAGCCAATTACCTCCCGACCAAAGCGAGCTATGTGTGTTTTCAATTTCGTGTATTGTCGGCATAGAATCAGTCTCCACTATCACATGCTCTGTACCCTGTTCAAAAGCTAGTTGCAGTCCCCAAAGGATCGCTTTTGCCTCTGTATGAAAGGAACTTTCAGTCCAGTCTACCCAAGTCACTGCTGAAAAAACCACGTTACTCTTTGAATCTCTAAGAACAGCACCTAGCCCAGCTTCCTGTTCTCTGAACCTATACACTGCATCCACAATGAGCTTTAACATATCCAGTACAGGAGGTTGCCAACTCTATCCTTGTGGCTTCCTCGAGATCATAGTTGGTTGGGCAACCAGTTCTAGCCTTTCCCTCACAAGGGCTGTCTTTACCAATGATTTCCGCATAGCACATGTTACTCGATGGAGGCTTTTAATTACAATCATCGTATTGTAATTCTTATTGTGTTAATTATAATATCATAATTCTTAATATTATCATGTTTGCTTATATAATTACATTAATTAAGTTAACAAATATTATATTATTTTCAAAATGTGAAATGAAACCCAGTTAAGATGCTAATTGTACCTTTTGTCTCTTGGATAGTTGCACTTGCTAATATGACAACTTTTGGTTGCAAAAAAACATTTCTTGTTCATAATATCCGGTAGGAAAAAAGCCATTAGCTTAAGAATCAAGCTACACCTATTGGGCAAAAAAAAAAAAAAATCAAGCTACACCTAGTTATGAAGGAGGATGTCACTTATTAAACAGTCAGTCATTTCGATTTTTGATTGGGATAAGAAATTCGAATCCAACTCTATGTAAGATAAAGACAACCAAACCAAGTATTTATTATTGAAGTGAGAAAACCGATACATGACTGAATTAGAAACAGTTGAGAAACCATTTTGTAGTTTTTTTCTTTTTAATTTTTGTTTCCTGAAGTTTCCTGAGTATTTGTGTTAATGGATCAAGTCAAGCAAATGGTAGAATTAAAATTAACCCAATAGTGATTATGAATGATATATAGTAATTAAAATATTAATCTTTTTCATTACAGGCTTCCAATGGCTTTCAAGACTCAATAATTTGGAAACTCTTGATTTAGGATACAACTCTTTGAAAAATAACATATTGTTTTATATCAATGGTCTTTTATCTTTAAAGACTTTAAGTTTGATGAGAAATCACTTGGAAGGAACTATTCACATTCACGATAAACTTGGTTTACCCTTTTTTTACGTTTAAATCAATTGTTGTTTCAGGAAAAGGTATTGCATATCATTTGCTTTTATACGTATTATTAATTACTCATTGGCATTGAGTAGGATTGAATAATCTGACAAATTTGAAGAACTTGGATTTAAGCGACAATAAAATTGAAAGCTTCCGACCATCAAAGCAAGGTATAAATATATATTTTAATTTACTTAACTAAATTCTTAATTATGTGATTAACATGTAAAATTTCTCATTGATAATAGCAAACAATAGAATTTTATATTTTTGCATAGGAAACGAGACACAACTGAGGCTGACCAATTTGGCGGAGCTTGATTTGAGGGGTAATCTTTTCAAGAACAACACATTTTTCTTCCCTCGGGAGTTTTCAAGTCTAAAGTCCTTAGATATGGGGGAGAACCAATTGCATGGCTCAATAGATATTAAAGGTAAAGCTATTGCAGCTTTTTTTTTCTTCAATTCTTTTTAGAACCTTTAAACTCATCAAATGAGTACAATCTCATATCACATTTGAGGATTTTTCTTCTTCACTTAAAGCTTTAGATTTATTTTGCTGTTTATTTCTTTATAAAGTCAATAAAAATATTCAATAAAAGATTATTTGAATAACCAAGCTAACATAATCATTATTTGAATTGAACTTGGACATAGAATTGAATAACTTGATGAATTTGAAGAAGTTGTATTTATACTCCAACAAAATCGAAAGCCTTCAATCCTTACAAGGTATGCATTTATATTTGATTAATTAGTTAAGTTGTTATATTTAATTAAATATTGTGTAAATCTTGTTTTAGTGATGAAATTATGTAAACCTTATGTAGATAGTGGGAGACGGCTGAACTTGACCCATTTAGAAGAATTTGAGTTGAGAAATAATCTCATTAATGACAGCATATTTGCATCACTTAGCGGGCTTTCAAATTTGAAGTCTTTGGATGTAAGCTACAATCGGTTAAATGGATCAATAGATATGAGAGGTAAATTTCTTTTTTTTTTTGCAAAAATTTTGAATTTGTTAAGAAGATCTTAATTCATGTTTCAAGATGACATAACAAATAAGTTCATCTATTTCTTTTCTTTAATGATAAAATTATGTAAATTATTTATAGATATAGGGAGATAGTTAAAATTGACCAATTTCTAAAAGCTTGATTTAAGTCATAATCTAATTAATTATTACTTTTCAACCAAAATTTCAACTCTATTATAAATACTCTAAAAAAAATACATTTCATATATTTAGATGATTTAATGAAGTTTATTCATTACTTTTTTTCTAGGCTTAGGTGCTTTTACCAACTTAGAGGAACTGGATATGAGTTATAATGATTTGAATGAATTTGTGAGCTGTAAAGGTATGGATTTAAATAAATTTTCTATTTTTATTTATGAGGTTTATAATGATGTAGATGTTTTAATGACCAAAAAATTCAGCATATTAAAATTTAATGCTCAAATTTTTAAAGGAAGAAATTAATTATTTATTATATGCTTTTTATTACAATGCTACAATTCTCTAACTATAATAAAGAAGTATGTAAGAATCGATTATTTATAAATGTGACCTCCATATAAAATTTTGTTAGACCTCACGTAATTTTGAATTGTGGCTATTTAATTGTATTATAATGGTTGTAGGTGAAATGCTCTCATTAAAATTAATGTCCGATTTTTTAAAGGAAGAAATTCATTCTAATTTGATTACTAATTAGAAAATGATATATATTTGCATTAGATAATTGCTTTCTTTAAGAAGTGTTGCAACGACATATCAAATATTTCCCTTTTTGTTTGTATTACCTTGTTGTGTCTTAGAGTTGGACTTGTTTGCCTTTTGTCATTCTATTTTAGATTACTACGTATTCTTATTATCGTTTAAAAAATTTTGCCTTTTCATGTTACCGTTTTGTTTGATTTTCATCTTTTTGATTGTTTCGTATATTAAAATTTATATTAAAAATATTTAACGATTCAATATTCTTCTCTATTAAAAATTCATTTTGCATTAATCTTAAATATATAATCTTATCTACAAAAATGAAAATTTTCACTCATTTATTTTTTTCATTTACAGAGTACAAGAGTTTGAAAAAGTTAAAAGTTCTTTGTCTAAATAGGGTTTTTACCAATGGAAGCATTCCATTACTACTAAAATTAGTAGAGGCATTCCCATCGGTTAAGACCTTCTATCTACTAATGAATTACTTAAACAAGACTATGACTACTCAAGATCAAGGTAAGTCATTAATTTATTCCAAAAGGATTAAAAATTAGTAGATGTTTGTTGATTAACATCTAATAATGCCTCCTATGCTATGATTACTCAGAATTGCATGTGTGGAGCAATGTGGAGGAAATATTTCTAGACGGTTCTTATCTCAACAACAACATTTTGCAAAGCATTGGAGTATTCACTTCTCTTAAAACTTTGTCTTTATCTAGCTGTGGACTTACGGGTTCTTTACCTAATCAAGGTAAATTAAAGACTCCATAATTTCTCCAATATAACTTACGGAATACATCTCTTTCTAATAATCCTTTATTCTATTTCTTTTATCTAATATCTCCTATATAATTTGACATGGAAATTAAAATTTAATTAGAATTTCTTCCATGAATTTATAAAATTTTCAGGTTGGTGTGATTTAAAGAACCTTGAAAAGTTGGACATCAAAGGGAATGCATTTGAGGGGATACTTCCTTATTGTTTGGGTAACTTGACATCTCTTCTTAAGTTAGATATCTCCTACAATCAATTTACTGGAAATTTGACTCCTTTAGCAAATCTTTCATCACTTAGATCTGTCACCCTTTCAAAAAATCGTTGTCAAATTTCAATGCCATTCCTATCACTTGCAAACCTTCCAAATCTCAAGTTTCTCTTGGCTGATGAAAACAATATAGTAATGGAACCTAATTCCTTTCATACTTCAATTCCAAAGTTTCAACTAAATGTTTTCAGCTTGTCAAAGTGTACAACAGATAAAGGACTTAGCCTACAACCTCCTAAGTTCCTTTATTACCAATATGACTTGAGATATGTTGATCTTTCCTATAACTATTTCAGTGAAACAGTCCCGTTATGGTTGTTAGAAAATAACACAAAATTAGAACATCTCTTCTTGTTGGGCAATTCTTTCACCGGTCCTCTCTTGTTACCACAACTTCCTAATCCTAATGTGTCTGTAATTGACATATCTAATAACAAATTACAAGGCCAAATTCCGACAAATATATGTTCAACTTTTCCAAATTTGGAATGGTTATTCTTATCTAAGAATGCCTTTGAAGGTAATATCCCTCCTTGTTTAAGTGGCATGGACACTTTATCATTTTTAGACCTATCGGACAATCATTTGTCTGGAAGATTACCAGAAGAGTTGATCATGGGAAGTTCATTAGATATTCTTAGGCTATCAAATAACAACCTAAGTGGAAAGATTGTTCCTATGATGTTCAACACAACAAGTTGTCAAATTTGTATTTGGATGGCAATAATTTTGCCGGAGAGATTCCTGATATTGATGTCTCTGCTACTGATTTGTCATATTCATCACTAGAGGATATTGATCTCAGTAATAACAGTTTTAATGGAAAGCTCCCAAGATGGATAGGGAATGTATCGCATTTGAAGAGATTGGCTTTGTCCAACAATCATTTCGAAGGTTCTATTCCAATGGAATTGTGCAACTTGTATGAGCTTGAATTTTTGGAGCTTTCTGAAAACAATTTATCTGGCTCTATTCCTTCTTGTTTCAATCCACCATATTTGAGACATGTCCACCTGAAGAGAAACAGACTAAGTGGTCCATTGACACTTGTTTTTGATAGCTCTACATTAGTGACATTAGATCTTAGAGGGAATAATTTGACCGGTAATATTCCAAAAAGGATTGGCACATTTTCTACTTTAAGCGTCCTTCTTTTGAAAGATAATCATTTAAACGGTGAAATTCCAGTTCAATTATGCAAGTTGTATTCATTGAGCATCATAGATCTTTCTGGAAATATGTTTTCTGGTCTTATACCTTCTTGTTTGGGCAATTTAACTCTGGCAATGAAAGAGGAGAAGTCTGTCGTAGATGATTATTTGTATATATCAAATCAAATACAGGATCCACTAGTACCAATAGACATTTGGTTTGATTTATCATATATTCTTCCTCGTAGCTACATGGAAGAATGGATAGAGTTTACAACAAAGAGTGTGTCCTACTCATACGGTGGTGACATTCTTAAGTACATGTCTGGAATTGATTTATCTTGTAACAGGTTAACTGGGCAAATCCCAGTGGAACTGGGAAACCTGAGTGAAATCCGTTCGTTAAACTTATCACACAATAACTTAGTAGGAGTTATACCTTCATCATTTTCACAATTTAAGCAAATTGAGAGTTTGGACCTTTCTTACAACAACTTGAGTGGGAGAATCCCTATACAGTTGGTTGAGTTGAACTTTCTAGAGGTTTTCAGTGTGGCACACAACAACTTGTCAGGTAGTACTCCAGAACCAAAAGCTCAGTTTGGGACCTTTGATGAAAGCAGTTACGAGGGAAACCCTCTTCTTTGTGGGCCTCCACTGCAAAATAACTGCTCTAAAACTGACTCACCAACAACAGTACCAACTACAGCAGATGATGAAGGAGAAGGTAGTTTCATGGACACATATGTTTTTTGTGTGAGCTTTCTGGTTTCATATGTAATTGTTTTATTGGTAATTTTTGTTGTTCTATACATAAATCCATATTGGCGACAAGCATGGTTTTCTTTCATTGAGAGTTGCATCACAACTTGTCGCTACTCAGTTGCAGGCAATTTTCTTGAGTTATACATCTTCAAAAGATGTGTTTAGGTGTCATAGGAGCTCTTATGATTTGCCTTTAGTTTGATTGTGGTGAAGATTTGGATAAAGTTTATTTTTGTTGTCAAAAGAAATTTGGTGATTTGATCTTTTAAATGAGGGATTTCTTTTAGCTGATTATTCTGTTAAAATGGTTGTAGAAAGAGTTGTGGATTTGGTTACTCAGATTGCTTAGAAAGAGTACTTTGATGATTTTGCACTTTCAACAGAGCTTTTTGTCTCCGTTGGAACTCTGTTTTTGGTATTTGTTTTGTTTGGAAGGAAGCACTGTCTTTTGGAAATTAGTATTAGCTTTACAAAATGAGCCAATTCAGCATTGATCGATGAAAATGATCGCAAAATGCATTTATTTTTTTATAGGGTTACAAAATATTCCAAAATAAAAATAATAATAATAAGTTGATATATCTCATACGCAAGAAAATCCCATCAAATAAATAAATTAAATGCATAATCTTTCAAAGCAATAATAAATATAGGGTGTTAGCTACTGGGACAAGGACTTAGTATAGTTTGTTAATTAATTATTTTATGATTGTAATTTGATTATGATGTAATAATTAATTATTTAATTAATTATATGATATAATACTTGATTATTACTATAAAAATTTTTAAAAAATAATTAAAATTTCTGAATTCATGCTTTGCATGGTTAATTTTTATTTATAGTACTACTTTTTTTATAACTTAAAATTTGTTAAATGTAAAACTTTTACCATTAAATTTAGTGAAAATACATTTATTTATTTATTAACAAAGAATATAATTTAAACTTATTTTATTTTATTCTTTTAAAATAATCAAAAATATTTTCAAAATTTTAATTGGATTTATTTTTAGATAATTTTAAAAATATATTCTTTCACATTGATTTGATAATTTTGATGTGTTTTTTTTACAAAAGTCTTATTTTAATTTTTAATGAAAATAATTTAGTAGTAAAAGAGGAAGATTAAAATGTTTTATGTGATTTGATTTAAAAAAATTTTAATTGGATATTTGAATTATAATTTTTTTAATTAATATGATATGCTATTTATTAATCACATGTCATTATTTAAAACTTATAAGATTAAAAGTAAATATCAAATTAATTAATAAATTTATAATTTAAATTATTAAAAAATTATAAAATTCAAATATTTAGTTTTTAATATTAACTTAAAAATCTATTCATATATTGAAAATAAACCCCTAAAAAATGATCAAACTACCCCTCTCTTGGTGTGATACGAATTTGACATATAACCAAATTGATTATTTTGCCTTCATACCATAATTAAAAAATATCCTTTTCTTTTATAATTATTTACTATAATACTCCATATCATAATTATAGAAAATTCTTCTCTTAAATTAATTATTATACTCTCATACCATAATAAAAAAAATACATATTCTCTTATAATTATTTATTATAATATCCTCGTACCATAATTATAAAAATGTTCTTTTATTATTAAATTACAAAAATACAATTCTCTTATTATTGACTCAAATTACTATAATACCTTCCTGACATAATTATAAAAATACATTTCTCATAATTGATCAAAATTACTATAATACTCTTTCACCATAATTACAAAAATGTTTTTATGAATGCTTAATAGAAAGTTGACATGTGATACTTTGTTTCAAAATTAATAACATATATTAAAACAATCTTTTTGATAATTAGTATAACAACCCTTTGTTTATTTGATATGATATCGATATGTATCTAAATTTACTATAATACATTTATATCATAATTACAAAAATACTTATCTTTTTATAATTAATTAAAATTATTATAATACTCTCTTACAATAATTACAAAAATACCTCTCATAGTATAATTGACTAAAATGACTAAAGTATGGTTCTTAATAAAATTACAAAAATACCCCTACCACAAATGGCAAAAAATTACTATAATGCCTTTCAAATGGAAATGCTTTTATGAGTACCTCATAAGAAGTTAACATGTGGTATTTTGTTTCAAAATTACTATAACACATCTATTAAATTATATATTAATTTTTAACTTAATATAAAATTAATCACATATTAAAGTATTAAAATATCATTACAATTGGTTTATAAAAATTTGACATGTGATATTTTATTTAAAAATTACTATAATATCATTATTAAATTACATATGAAATTTTAACATCATATAAAATTAACTACATACTAAATTACTAAAATACCTTGGCCGTTGCTTAATAAAAATTTGACATGTGAAATTTTGTTTTAAATTCACTATAATAACCCTATTAAATTCTTATTAAATGGTAAATAACATATTAAAATAATTCCTGTAGAAATTGTTATAACACCACTTTGTTGAGTTGATGTGATTTTGATATGTATCTAAATTTATTATAATGCTTTTACATTATAATTAAGAAAATACCTTTTTTCTTATAATTAGTCAAAATTATGACAATGCCCTTCTACCATAATTACAGAAATACCAAAATTACTATTATGTCATGCTATTATAATTACAAAAATACTCCTTATTATATTTAATCAAAATTACTATAATACCCCTAATCCACGCCTACTTCACTGGATCCTTTTTCCCATTTAAAGCATCAATCTATTTTGGTATCATTAATTATTTTCTTATCGTCAAGGTTTACCTTTGGTTTTTCTGGAGGATCCAATACCAAAGTGGTACCATGATACTAGGATAAAAGGCTTATTGCAAGTAGAATATCGAATTATAATGTGGCTCTCTGAAATCCCTGTCCTTCCCTCCCAGGATTTAGAAGTGATAAAATCCATGTAGCGCTTCCCGGAATTGAAATCTTCTGGTGAAGTATTACTTAGCCGTGCTAACTGAAGTCTTCCAACATTTGCTCTCCTTATGTGGGAACTAAGCTAAATAGAGAACTCAATTATTTTGTTTGCTTAGAATGGCAAGGTTATTTTCTAAAACCTTCTAAAAAATTGAGGTGATAGAGGCAAAGCAGCTTAGAAGATTTGAGGTAGAATAAAAAATGAGAGAAGAGTGAGCTTACCACTATGAATGCAAAAATTCACCTGTGGCTGTGTTTATTCTAAACCTTTTAGCCTTTGTTATGTGTGCTTGATCGTCAATGATGAATTATTACTTTCTTCCTTTATCCTTTTTCAGGGTTTTTTTTTTTTTTTTTTGGTATCAATGTAAATGATTGTTGATAAGCTGGCTGGCATTTATCTTGATCCCTCTACCGTTTAGCTTAGGGTAATTGTACTTTGTAATAATAATAATAATTTTTTAATTATTGACCGTAGTTGAAAGTAGGCGGTATGAACTTTACCAACACGGTATGCTATCCTTGTAGTCTATGAATTTTAAATTGGGTTGAAGTTCAACTCATGTCTTATGTTCTTTTTTCTGTTAGTTAAAAGAAAAGGGAAAAAGGAAAAGCCAGTTATGTTATTGATATTCTTTTTATGTTGTCCAGTTGGTAAAAGAGAATTCAGTTGAGAATAATATGGTCATTACATGTATGTTACAGGTTTTGGAAATCATTTAACCTGAAATGCCTGTATATATGGTGTTGCAACGTGGATATCCACCAACATCGACAGGTCCTAAGCGGAGCAAACTACTGCAAAAGAATAATGTAGTGATAACAACTTCAAGTTGTGATCTGTGTTTTCAGTTGCGAGGCTTGCGTGATGGTGTCTCAACTCTCTCAACTAAGTTTTGCAGACCCTTGGTCAATTTCTGGGTCGATTGGAATGGAATTGGGGGAGAGGGGAGTTTGCAAAATCCAACAGTGGCACTTTCCAAGAGATGGTTTTGAGAACCAAACTCAGGTAAGTGATGAATATTGAGTTGAACATTCCAAAAGATTTGGGTTTCAGTGGTATTCTAGCCTTTCCTCTTCTCAATACAATCGATTTGATCCATTTTTTACAAAAATAACAATACCTTACGCAAAGAGGCTATTTTTTACAAATATAACATTCTCTTACAAATAGAGTTGTGCATGAATAAGTTGGATCAAATAAAATAAAATTCGATTGATACTTTTAAGTAGAATTGATAATTCATGTTATTGTATTATGTAAAATATTATATTTATATCATATTTTATATGAAAATAATATATTACAGTTTTAGAAAACATAAAATATAATTTTTTAATTTTATTAAATTTATTTATAATTTTTTAAAAAAATTTAAATTATATTATTTTTATATCTTTTTGTTGTATCGTATTTTAAAATGACAAATTTACTTTTAAGTCTAGGATCTATCTGACCCATCTATTTATATCCAAATCAATCATTTTTACTGTTTAAAAATATTAAAAATTATTTCTATATTAATAATTTTAATATGTTCTAAAATATTTGAATTTCAAATTTAAATAAAAATTATTTATTACCGTAAAAATAATCCATTGTTGCCCAAAAAAAAAAAATCCAGATCAAGTCAAGTAAAACCTGACCCTTAAAATCCAACTCCAATGAAATTCGATTAGAAATTAAACTATCATTTTATACCAAAAGGTTTGTCTTGCAAATTTTAGTTCGGTTTTTAGAACTTCTTTGTCATGTAACATTTATACACAACAATCTAATTTCCCTATCTTCTCAACTTATATTCTCACCAAAAAAACATATATTAAAACAAATCCAGAAAGGGAACCATCCGAACCTGAATTTTTACTGTAACATCAAACAATCTGCTCCTTAGAAATCAACTCTAGGCTTGATTTTGTAACAACCAAACTGTGATCCTTTTTTAAGGCTTTATGAAAGGTGCTTGGTCAAAAATTTGCACCCGGGTCGTGTGTGAAGAATTATAAGTTGTCCATTTACACTGTAATTAACTAATTAAGTTTACCTTAGTAAATCAAAATTCATGAATTCATAAATTCTGAAGATTGGACAATCCTCATTAGCTACTTCAAATTTGCGAGCACATGTCACGGTCGTAAGCTCTTGATGCCGATGAAATTCAAAAGTTGCTCTATATCCTGCAAACACAGGGAAGACTTTTGTGAATTCATTTCAAAATGAATATTTGAAAATATATATATAATTAAAATGTCATGCATCTCAACAAACATTTTTTTGTACAAAAAAAAAAAACCCTGTAGCCTAAAAATAGAGAAAGAACTTGTAGGTACTAAATTTTGAATCTAATATCTGTTAAATGTCGCTTATGACTGCATAAACCAATTGATTTAACTCAAGAAACATTTTGCAAAAAGGAACATTGACTAACTCTTAAAACATTAGTACAACGAATTAAGACAAGGATGAATGCTAGCTTG